GTTCCCGGAGCCAGAACCTTGGGCCGGGCCCTCCCTGGCCGGGCCCTCGTGTTCTACCGCTTCCGTGTGGGGAGAACCGGGAGTTCTCGCCGTCGTGTTTGCTCCGGCGGAACTGGGAGAGCCTGGCCTGCGGCGCAGGGCCCCTTCGCGGGCAGCGAGCCGCTGGGCTGCATGGGGGAAGAAACAAACGCTTGTGCGGTGGCCACCAGCCACAGATGGGGTCTCTCTCTCTCTCTCTCGCAGTTCCTGACAGAGCTTACCAGACTCTTTCAGAAGTGCAGAACTTCGGGGAGTGTTTTCATAACGCTGAAGAAGTGTAAGTCCTACAAGGAAGCTGGGGGGGATTTTTTACAAGGGCCTGTAGTGACAGGACAAGGGGTAACGCGTTTAAATTGAAAGTGGGGAGGTTTAGATTAGATATCAGGAAGAAATTCTTCACGGAGAGGGCGGTGAGGCACTGGAATAGGTTGCCCAGAGAAGCTGTGGATGCCCCATCCCTGGAAGTGTTCAAGGCCAGGCTGGATGAGGCTTTGAGCAACCTGGTCTAGTGGAAGGTGTCCCTGCCCATGGCAGGGGGGTTGGAACTAGATGGTCTGTAAGGTCCCTTCCAACCCAAACCATTTTATGATTCCATGATTCTAAGTCTGTTACTGGACTAAAGAGGTGTTCATTTAAATCAGAGCAGTGTTAGCATGTTTTTTTAAAATACAGTTGTAATTCCAAGCGTCTGACAGTAAGAGTAGTCGTATAGACAAATCAATCCGCTGCAGTACTGATGACCTTGAAGTAAGACTGCGTTTCCAGCTGCAGGAAGTACTGGGACTTTATTAAACAGTAATTGGAAATCCTTAGATTTCTGCCAAAGGAGAACTGTGGCGTTGCTTTGGTGTGTTTTTGTTTCTCTGGTTTCTGGCTAGCTGGCACTGCTCCGGAAGTCAAGTGTCCTAGGCTGCAGATCACCGTGCGTTTAAAACATACTGCTGCTGAAGCCAGGAGCTCATGCAGCACGTCAGGGGAAGGATTTACATTGATCCTGGCAGATGTAGTTTAGCAAAGGGATCCTTCCGGGGTTACAGAGGAAGGGGTCTGTATGAATTTGGCAGCAGTGTCAGTTTACATGGCCTTAAAATCCAAGGTGTTTTACAGATCTCCTGAGGAGCAGTTCTTAACATCTCCTGGCAGGAGGCATCTGGTGTTCTGAACAAGCGTTCTCTGTCTTTCAATGCAGATGATGGCCGGACAAAACCAGTCCCACGCAAAGGCCACGTAGAAAGTTTTGAACCAGCGGACAATAAGTGTCTTCTAAGAGCAACTGATGGAAAGAAGAAAATTAGCACAGTGGTAAGTGACAGCTTGGGGTTAGAAAGATTAGTGGCCCTACTTGTCTTTTATTTAATGCTCTGTATTTTAAATAAAACTTGTCTTTACAGGAATTTCATGAGAACTAACCTCTTAATTCCAGAGAAACCATATGGTAGCTAAACACACAGCTTGTGTTTACACTTCAGCATCCCAACACGTTGTTGGGATGCTGAAGTGGTACACTTACCTGAAGTCTTAATGCTTACAACTCAGCACTCCAGATGGGACAGTAATTTACAGTTTTGCTCTGTGTGATGGATTTTGCTTCAGAATGTTGCTGCAGGACAGCAGAAAGGGACTCTGCCTGTTTTCAGCAACCTTGGCTGTTGTGTTTTGAGTTGAGGAAGTTATTTGGAGGGAAGCAGGAAACTGCTTCTGGAGACAGAAGCAGAAGGACACAGGGCAGATATGGAACTTGCAGTATGAGGTCAAATGGTGCATCTCCAAGGAGGAGAAAGTTCCTACACACCCACACCCAAGCTTTAGGTGACACAGAGGTAGTTTCCTATAGACCTGGATGGAATTACTGAAGTTTCTTACAACCCAGGCAAGAACTGGATGTTCCCAGACTCTGAAACACTAGGAAAGGGATCCTTGTTTCCTGGCAAGAACGTGTGAGCGTGGGTAGAATCTTCTAAGCCTTAACCTTGCTTAGCACACCTGCTTGGGATTTTTTTCTTATTTATAGAGCTATTTGTAGTTCAGGGAATGTTGACTAAAAGTTGAAAACCTGCTGTGCGTTTACTTTGAGTGAGAGATTGGGAAAGGCTTTAGCTGACTTTAGCTCTCCCCTGTGATGTAACCCAAGGAAAACATTGCTTTGGAGAGTAGTTAAGAGAATCTGGGCTGCAACGTATTTTTATGGCCCTACAGAAAAATAAAAACTTCCTTAGAATGTGTCTTCACATTCCTCCCGTATGAGATCTCACGGGTCTGGAAAGAATGGCCTCCAGAGGATTTTGTTAATTGCGTAAGGAGTGTTTTCTCTTTTCTGGATCAGTGAATCTAAACCTGTGTCAGTACAGCCTACCCGCCACTGAACGTGATGAGTTGATCCAGCCGCTGCTAAAAAGGCTCCATGGTCAGTGGTGGGTAAACGTGTACTGGTGCTCGGTTTGTAACAGAAGCCAGTGTTTTCTTGGTTAACCTCCAGTATTACTTTTGTAGGTGAGCTCAAAGGAAGTAAATAAATTCCAGATGGTAAGTTTTGTGTGCCTTCTATCTTCCTTTTCTGTGGGTATTGGGGAGTGGTCAGTAGGAAACACTGGACAGCTGTGAACGGGTTGATTCAGTGCTGAACTGAATCAGATTAAGCATCTATACAGATTAGATTTAAGACTACCCAGCTGTCTGCGTTTGGTTTTAAAAAAAAATCTTGCTGTATTTTACCTAACTTTCTGCATTGGTTTAGAAACAATCGTTTCCTAGCGCAGGGTGTAAGAGCATGCTTCTCAGATACCTATCCATTAGCAATATGTAAACTGTTTCCTCTAGTATATTGTCACTTAAGTATTTGCTCTTCTAATGGTCCTGATTGTTGTTTCAGGCATATTCAAATTTGCTGAGAGCCAACATGGACGGCTTGAAGAAAAAAGACAAGAAAAGCAAAAACAAGAAGAGTAAAGCAACACAGTGACAGAACAGCGTCCTGCCGTCACTGTAACAGACTTGACCCTTGCTCAAAGCAAAGTCCATTTCTTTTTGAGTTACCACTTGTCTTTGGCTTTCCTTCCAGCAGGATACTGGGATGTGATCAGTACTTTTGTTTAAACCAAGAGCAGGTGGTGTTTTCTGCGGGTTGTTGTACAGCTGGAGTATTTACAGGGTTGTACGGAAATCGCTTTGCACTCAGCTGCCAACTAGTTCTGTACTTGTGCTGCTGTTTGTTTTGCATCATACAAGTGGGCAGGGTAAAACCTGTTTGGGGGGGTAATGCAGGGTGAAGAGAAATGCACCATAACAGGAGCAAAGTGAGACAGGAGTGGGAGTCTCACTGACAGAATCCCAGTTTTATAGATAAGCCTCAGTAGTGCTAGGGGAAGTGGGTGCCAAGATATTATCAGGTACAGCAGCTTTCCTGTTTCTGTCTTGAGGGACCTGTCTACATGATGCAATGCAGATACCCCTAAGGCAGCCAGCGTGATGCTTGAGCTCTTGCAGAGCCAGGCAGCTGTGCCTTCGCTCTCTGCTGATCCAGCTGTGCTGGCTCAGGGTGGGGGGAGGGCAGGAATCTGCATCATCTTCCCTTCAGACATGGCTTAAACACGCTCATGTCACCTAAGCATTTTTTGTTTTTAAAGCTTCATCCTCCAGTATATTCAGGGATCTGACCTTCCCCGTGCTTCACATCTTAAAGTAGCTCCTTCGTATGAGCAGATGTAAAAGGTGAATACTTTATTGTTCCTATTAAACACCATGAGAAATGGATTTGGCTGTGGTGACTGATGTGACATGGCCTGGTGAATTGCTAGGAACGGTTGTTACCTGTGCCTCTAGGACTGCCTCCCCTGATGCCACTTTGGGTGTTGCTGTTACAACTTTCACAGTTCTCAGAATTCTTGGGTTTGTCTTTAAAGTTGCCTCTATACTAGCTCTGCCCTCCTCTCTACTACATTAGAAGGGCAGAAAAAGTATTAGGTATTGCCTTTACCACTGCATTAGGAAATCATCTGTGTTAAGAGAGAAACAGGAGTAAGGTGTTTAAACAGAAGGTGTGAGGTGGGGAGGGAGGTTAAGCACCAGTGTACTTCCAGAAATCCCTAACTCTTCCACACATTCACTCTAGCAGTTTGATGTGAGATAGAACCTGTAGTTCACTGGCTGCCGTAACTCAGCTTCAGCTTTGCTCAGCTTACTTTTTCCTGACGGGGTTGTGTTACAGTTTAAGCTCCAAGAATTACAAGATTCCCATTGTCACTATGTCTAACTTAATCTGACAACCCCTGTGAAGTAAGCTAGTTCAAACCTTTGGTTATGCCTCTAGCACCTGCAGGTTAATGTTTCTCTTAAATGTCTTAACTTTAGGTCTAAAACCAGTTTTTCCTGTATTGGGTCTTACGTCATCTTTCAGGGAGCTGCTGTTTGATTTGAATACAAAAGTACAGGTGGGACCAGCATAGGCAGCCAGGCTTACAACCCCTCTCTGAACTTGAAATCTACCATATTTTACATTGAGATTAAAACAGTAGGTTTAAAAAACAAAACACACAAAAAGCTTGTAATACGTATTTCAAGAAGGCTCGGTAGCCAAACCTTTTATTACATAAAAACTCTTCTTCAAAAAAAAAGTTTAAAACAGTTTGCTAGAGCTGAAGATAATTCATCCTCTCTAATCCTTGAACAGAGTTTCTCATTTCAGCACTACAATTGCACGTTGACAGAAAAGGCATTCTGAAACTATTTAAAAAGCAGTTTTACACCTTCACAGCTGAAGTCTCTTTTGTGGCATAAGGGGGCAATTGCATGATAATACATCTCTCTGCCTGTAGTCAGGCTTAAGTGCCTATAAGATATTTATTTCCACTTTTTGACATGAATTCACAGTTTCGTATTACACAAAATCCAATCTGGGCCCATAAAAAGCCATTAGTTGCCCGTCTTACGTTATGACGGCTTTTTGAAATGCCTTTTGACAAAACACCGTTGCCTCTTAGTATTAAGCATCCCATAAAAGATGCTTCAAGCACTAAAACAAAACCTTGTATTCATCCCGGTAACTGTACAGGAGAAGTGCAGGAACCCTGCAGAGGGAAGGAAAAGAGGATTTTTAAGCTTTGGAACTGGAGGTTCAAAATGTACAGAGCTTACTGCCAAGGTTTGACACAGGTTAACAGCAGACCCAGTGGAAAAGCAGTTAAGCCTTAGTTCCTGTGACTGCAATTTTCTCCTTCGTTTTCCTTCCACTGATGTAGCCGGGTTGGTTGTCATGGCCGAGCAGTGTTTTGTGTGCAGGCATCATCACACGGGAAAGGAAAACTTCATCAGGCGCTGCGTTACATTCACACCCAGCAGCATAGGGGGTGTTATCTGTGTGTAATGGATGGTTCTACACCAATTAGTAATTGGTTCTTGGTGTAGAAGTGTTCAAGGCCAGGCTGGATGAGGCTTGGGCCTTGCAAGCTACAGGAAGGAAAAACAACCCCCCCCATTTCACTTGGTAATTGGTTACCATGGCAAACCTGAAAATGAAACCTTCGATTCATCTCTAAGAAAAAGGAACCAGTCGATTTTTAGTCTCATTTAAAGGTTAAGTAGTACCTTCAAGCTGAGGTTAAGGTTAAGAAAGCATATGATAAATGAAACTCATCATAGGACACAAATACCCAGATTTCCCTGGACCTGTACCAGTAAATGTGAGAGAGTTGGAAGTTATCAAGCTGGATGTGCCCAACTGTTGCAGCCTGACCGGAATCCAACAAGGAGACCGAGCTGAACATGGATGGTTTTATGCTTAGAAAACAGAAATGGGCTTTACTGGACGTGCTGGGAGAGCCTGATGTGTTCACTGACGGCTGGGCAGTCTGTCAGCTGTGCCAGCTTCCCATCGTATTCCTTCAGAGCGGAAAGAACTAAACGTGCTTGTGAGTTCTGAAAGGCAAGCCGAGCCCCTCCCACGAGAAGAGGGGGTTACTGTGTCGGACAGCAGCGTACCCGAACAGGGGTGTTCACCATTCGGTTTTATGAACAAAGCAGCAAATGAGAAAACGGTGGGAATGTGTTTTGGAATGTCTTGAAAAGGCTTATAGAAGTGAAGAATTAACGTTTTAGTGAGGATACCAAGCAAACTTCCCACAGTACTCAAGGAAGTATAGATGTTTCCTGAATGGTACTTTTTTTCCTCAGGAGGAGGGAAAGGGAAGGACAAATTAAGAGCAACGTATTTCGTAAAGTCTGAATATATAAATAATTGAGATATTTTATGTACCTGTAAGAGCTTAAGCTTACCTCTTTTCCATTTTGATAGTGTAGATTTCATCACAAATTGCTTGCAAGTATGAACATCTCTGTTTTGGGCATCGTGACATCAGCTGTCTCACCGTAGCATCAAAGGCTTGTCGGTCTCCATCAAACTAAGAAGAAATAAAAATAATGGGCAAGGAACAATGATGCAGTCTCACCTTCTCCTGTGAAAGAAGACAGGATTCAGTCTTCTGAATGCCGTGTAACATCAGTGCTCCTTAAACAAATGCGTTTCGAACAACAATCATACAAACAACATGCAAAACTTCATTTTTTACATGTGAAGAAAGTGTATAGAGTTTGGTGATAGCTTTTTTTTTTTAAATGCAGATAGTTTATCACCTTTCACCTAAAAAAAAACCCCAAACCCCGCACACGCTCAGCTTGCATCACTCACTTCTGACCACCCGTACCCCACCATTCCAATATTCTCCCCAGCACTGCAGACCTGGCAGAGCCCCTTCCATTGCTTACACCTTCTTTATCACTCAACTGTCCCCAGGATTTGGATAGATTGGATCAACTAAGTGTTGTGAAAATATTTTCCAGTGTTTCACTGGGGTGTGATAACTGGAGCGGCACTGCTTCAGAGCAGCAGGTACACGGTCCACTTCCAGGCAGGATGCTGTTCTGGAGTTCATTTTTTGGGGGAGCGGGGAGGTGTCCAGCTCGCTAGTAAGAACTGCTGACTTTAAAGCTGCCGCTGTCATTAAAGGTTTTTTTCCCCTCGTCAAGCAGTTTCTGAGATGTTAAAGGTGTCAATATAATACTTACACATCCCCTTTTTATCTTGGCTTCACCAAGAGATGTTACAGTTGCTGCACTCAAAACAACTGCCTCTGTGTTTTGGGTCCTCCTTCATGAACAGCCTCAGGAAACAGCTTTGTTGAAACTGCTATCGATGCTTATTACCCAGAGCTTTGGACTAGGACTTCCTAATAGTGTCTGACAGGACTTGGGCGTTTGACAAGAGGATTCTTCCAGCCTCACTCAAGCTTCTTGGGTAAAAAAATGCTTGTTTAAAAAAAAAATCAAGTTTAAAACCTAATTCGAACACACCTTGAAGGAGAAAAACTACACGGGGTGAATTTTACATTCCACTTCCTTAGGAACAGAATTTAGCATCTATTGTTCAATTAGACTTTTAGTGACAATATTTAATTGCTTACCTCTAACGATATGAAGTGTATCACAGTGGCTTTTGGCAGATCTACCTGTAAAAATGCCATCAAGAAATCAATACTTCTTCAAGAAATCAGTAGTTCTTCTGTTACCAGTTTGCCAACGAGAGATTAGCTGTACTGAAGGTAGTCAAGAGTTTCTGATTTCCTAAAGAAGCACTCATGCTGATAGAACTGGGAATTTACCAAGGCTTTAAGCATTTTAAACAAACTGTTCGTGACATGTTCCATTATGGAAAGCTCCAAATAGGCACAGGCAGACAAGCAGTGTTGCCCGAAAAGCACACACCATTTTAAAGTCCTTTGTGACACAGTCAGCAGAACCTAAAAGCTGTGCAGAGGAAAAAGCTACGTTGGTTTAAACGTAAGAGCACACCTCACAGGAGCAAGTTATTAAATCTGCCACAGTAATTAGCATAAGCACAGCTTAAGAATTTACAACCAAACACTTGTTAAATTTTGTTCTGTGCAGCTGTCCAATACACACAATTTGAGACAGTTTTCAAACATCAAAAGAAACATGCCATGGGTCTTACTTAAGCAGAAGTTTGGTTCATTTGGTATCCAGAGTAAGGCTATTGGCAGTAGTCTGTTCTAGACAGCAGCTGCATCATCCAACTAGGAATTTGAAATTAATTCTTTTGGCTTTTGCCAAATACTTACTGCTAAAATCTCAATCTCACTTGTTTTCTGCTGCAGGCTAGAAATGAATGTCTGAAGTCTTGTTTGCACCTGGTAACAAAAGATGGGCCAAAGTAAAATACACTGCTGCTGGGTTGGAAACACTCATTTTCTGTTTCACAGATGATGAGAACAGAAGAGGCTGCTTCTGACAGAAGGTGTAGAACTGTTACCGTGTTTAAAACTAAAATTCATGTTTCTGATAATTTTTAGTAGCAATTCCACGATAACCCTTGATGAG